CATGTGTGTCATCTGCCCCAAAAACTCAACGGAGGCAAGCAGGACGATGCAGAACATTGCGTCTCGTGCAAGTGTGCAAGAGAGTTATCAGCTGGAAAAGATCCGAGTTTGCAAGGTTACCTTGGAGTTCAAAAGAAGATGGGATGAATTAGTCCTAAGTGATGGTGCTTAAACTCTGCATGCTGTGAGGTTTCAAATGAAAGCAAGGGAGCACATAAAAATACAAAGTGCAGGATCACATTCAGTGCTATGATAAGCCTGTTTGGTTTAAGAGCAGTTAAAAGTATAAACCCAAGAAAAAAAACAGTGAATGTGAACGAAAATGATGAATGGAATGGAGGAAGAGAAGGGACACCGGTCTGGTTTTATGAGTAAGATGGACCAACTGCTTTACTTACGCAGGGAAGGCAGTTTCAGGTGTTTGTACATGAGTCTTTGAATAGAAAATCCTCTCTGGAGTTAAAAAAAAAAAATTAAAAAAAATCAACTGAGATGGTTTTCCATAACCACTCTTCGTCTCAACCTGCTTTGAAAAATTGTCTATTTATCAGTGTCATTCATGGGAAGTTGCTGCATGGGACAGCTATTTGAGCCATTTGAGCCACGTCTGTGCAATACGTTCAGAAACAACAGGTACAGATAAACCAGCAGTTGCCATTGCATGGTGCTCTAATCCCACAGACGGAGGCAGACACATTCCCTTCTTGATGCCCTTTGTACCCATACCCATGGTAATCGGGTGATTCACGTGGGCAGCAGTTTTCTAGCCGTGTCCTTCAGATACTCACATTGCAAACTGCCTGAAAATCACTGTGCCCTCCGCATAAACACTGAACAGGAAAGGAATGAACAGAAAAAATATTTTATTTTCCTCTCCAGCATGTTATGCAGAATTTCCAAGCTACTAAACTTAATTCTTTACCAAATTCAGTAAATTTGACTCCCATGCTTTAGCTCTGACTCATTTTCTCTCTAATCAATTCCTAATTATTATTCACTTCCTCAGAGAGTTTATGGAGACAGATGCTGCAGTACCATGACTAATAAACAAAACCATAGAAACTGGGAGGAAAACTTGCCAGAAAATGCAGATAGATTAAATGGATGAGCTGCTCTGGTAGCTTCTGTCCTCACTTTCTCTGTCCAATTAGTTGAATCACATACGCACTGGTTTTAGCAGCAATTTCATGCAATAACTAACTCTCTAACAAATCAAGCTATTGCATAGTCACAGAGTAACAATACTGGCTGGTTAAACTGGCTGAAATCCTGGGGCCCAGTGGGTCCAGCGCTGCCTTCCCAGCATCTTGCACAAAAGAACGGAGTTTGGGGGTTGAAGGGAACAAAACAGATGCCATGTGTGTCAGACATCTGGACACGCACTGCAGGATGTACAGACATACAGCGTACACGCACAAAGAATGTAAATCAGCAGAGCTTTCCGCTACGCCTTTCTATACAGTCAAAAATGACAACAGCCTTCACGTTACGAGTGATGCTACCAATACCCTTCACCTCCAGATAAATTTATCAGACGCTGGTCAAATTTTGGCATCCGGAGGGGAGATTGCCAAGCCGAGGTTTGCATCCTAAAGTCGAGGGTACAGCAAGATGAGGCAGACCTTTAGGCATCACTTCTCTGCCTGGCCCCTTCCTGCCTCTTAGGGACGTTTCTGCCTCTCGGTGTGAAGAAAGCCTCACAACAGCTCGCTGACATTTCACTTCAAAGTCTGACTTAACGGGGAGATTGCCAAGCCGAGGTTTGCATCCTAAAGTCGAGGGTACAGCAAGATGAGGCAGACCTTTAGGCATCACTTCTCTGCCTGGCCCCTTCCTGCCTCTTAGGGACGTTTCTGCCTCTCGGTGTGAAGAAAGCCTCACAACAGCTCGCTGACATTTCACTTCAAAGTCTGACTTAACATCAGCCCAGGGTGTAATTTTGGTTTCCGTTCGCTGACAGTCATCAGCAGTACTAACGGGGAGGGGTTAGAGCAAAGGGAGGGGGAAACCTGAGTAAAGGATGCCAAGTCACATTCATCTTTTCTGCGTGGAAGAGGAAACAGTGGAAAATAATAC